TATTATTTCCATTATTATAGACTATAGTATACTAACTAGACGGATGTACCTACAGCAATAACTGATGAAGGTAGATCGGTCAGTCAGCAATAGAAGATCATTATTTATCAAGGTAAATATTTTATTACAGTTTACTAAAAATAGTTAGTATTGTAATGCTAGTATAGTGTTATACTTAAAATTGTATAATCCATCAAAACGAACAGTGCCAGCCCAAGATACGGGCGAACCAGGCGGTTGCCCGRGGCGCTACTTTTTTAAGGGGTGCTTTTAATATTTTATAAATTTTAGTGTAATATTTATTCAAATTGACAATAATATAGCTAAATGACTAAATTATCTATGACGGAATATTCTATTATATATTTTTTTTTATAGATTTTACTCCACTTTCCAGTTTTTATCATTATATTACAAATAATTATAAAATAAACTCAACTCAAAATATATATATAAACAAACCTATTTTTTTTTCTTATTTTTATATTTTTATATTTTGATTGTAATTTTAAATTAAATTTTTTGCTACTCATATAAAATATTTAAATATAATCGTTTTTTCGAGATACCTAATAATTTTATTGTAATATTATCACTTGAATTAATATTGTTTTAATAATTTGTATTCGAAGAATAAATGTATTCTTTAATTATTTAATGTAAATAAATCTGGCACACCGTGCGGCATCAACACTGTATCTCGCACGCAACTCGGCTCTGTCACAAAAAAACCGCGCACGCAATTTGACCCAGAAAACGATTTTCGCACGCAACTCGGAACCGCCGAAAATAATATACAATGATATAATATAATCATTATCTYGGGAAAACCAAAAAATTATGTGTTACAGCCGATACGTCTATAAATTGTATCCAAATAAGTTTTGCCGTTCTTTACCTATTCATAAATATAAGAATTTTAAACAAAATATGTACCTAAGTAAGTATAAAAAGTATTAAATGTATTATGGATCATTTGATTAAGGGCGCCTTTCAAAAAATTGCCCGGGGCGTCAAAATACCTTGGGCCGGCCCTGAAAACGAATCTTATTGTGATATCTTTTTTGTTTAAGAATATTATTTTAACATTATAATTTATAAAAACGAATAAAATTAGTAAAAAGTAATAATAATTATATTATCATTAGAAAATGCTGTCTGGGATTGACTATTATACCTATCCGTATACCTATAATATTAACCTAATATCGTAAAATATTGACCGGGGGACCGTCAGGGACCAATTTCCGTGTATAAAATTATGACAGGGACCAATTATTATCTGCGTACAACATTTTTATGCAGGGACCAATTTTCCGGGGGCCAATTGTTCATTTACCCATAATTGTAAATCCTATATMGGAAACTTAATATTTGCATATTTTATATACCTACTAATAAATGCTATCATATTATATTACAATATATTATTTAATATAATATTTTTATACTTAATTAAACATTATATTTCCATTTTCAAAAACTTTTTTATAATAACCACTGTCTATAAGGCAGTGTAATGTGTAAAAATACAATTCAAAATGGTTATTTAACGTATATTTATAATTTATACAAACGTTATTACTGTAGGTACTATACCTGAAGCTGAGTATTAGTATAGTGTATTACTCATATATTTAAACTTAATCATGGACAGTATTTGGGTGATATTTTAAATGTATTTATTATTTTAAAAGTTAAAAAACCACACCCAGTCCCAGAAGC